GAACTCTTTTTCAGTCAATGGTGGATGTACTTGAGAAGCAACGTCTTTCCATCGTTGTAAATATTGTCGAAAGCTTTCATTGCACTTTATATTCATGCTTTGCAACATTGTTCGATCAGGGGCCTTATCAGTCATGTGCTTGTATTGACCCAAAAAAGCTTGAGCTAAATCCCTCCAAGAACGTATTTGAGTACGTTTTAGCTGATTATACCATCTGGATGCAGACCCAGATAAACTATCTTGGAAACAGTGGATCAACAATTTTTCATTCTCTACATAGCCAGTCATATGATGACAATACATAGTGATATGATATGAAGGGCATGTGGTCCCATTATACTTCTCACAATCTGGAACCTTGAACTTTGGTGGAATAACCAGGCCAGGGGCCAAACTTAGTTCTTTGGCATCAAACCCATAAAATTACTCAACTGTCTCTATAGATTTTATCACCTCTTCTATATTTTCCAATAGTTGAGTGAATTTTTCCTTCTCAACTGATTTGTTTAGGTCAAGGACCTCATTACTAATACAAAATTCATCAGGCTTCAACTCAGAAGTAGTAGGACAATCAGTGGGGAACGATGCTCCAGCTTGATATGGTGAGTTCTTAACAGCGAAGTAAATCGGTGATTGAATTTCCTGGGGTATAGAGGTGAACTCAGGAATATGAACAGGTGTAACATCCAAAGAATTTCTGGGGTTTTCAACAAGACTCTTTCCAGCGGTCTAATGCTTCTCAATCATTTCTTTCATATTGTTCAGTAGATCGATATGAGAATTTGTGATATTAGCTTCAATTTGTGCCAACTTGCTCCTTAATTCCTCTTGTATTTCTTTCTGCTCTATCTCAAATTTGGCTAGCCTATCCTCATTTTCTTTAGACATTTTTCTTGTGTCGTGCTGAGCGTTCTTGATTCAAGGAAAAACCAAGATCACTTCGTTTGAAATCCTTATTTTAATGAATGAATGTTTTAATATATTATGACATAAAAAAATGCAAAGTTGCCAAATGCAAATGTAAATATGTGAATGTAATAATAAGAATACAAATTGTGCAATACAAAAGCAAACATAAAAATACAAATGCAAAGATGCCAAATGTAAATATGCAATTGTAAAAATGTAAATGTAAATTATTTAAAATACCAGAATAGGACATCCAGTTATATTAAGATTGCCCTTTTCTTTGATATTGAAAATAAATAAACATTATTATTTAATTAAATATGTTTTAATGCATGATGTAAATTTAAAAATGTAAATGTAAATACAAACGTAAAAATGTACAAATGCAAAATACAAATGCATGTATGAAAAGGTGTTACTCAAGAGTGATCATCTTAGAACAGATTTCATTGAACGTAAAAGTTTTGGTACATCAAACAAAACTTTACATATAGGGATATATTTTACTCCTAACTTTTCCAAAGCCAAATTAGTCTATCAACTTAAGGGACATATTGCTTGTCTGGACTGTAACCTCTTCCATGACATTCTCTTTCATTTTCTGTGTTACTTCTCGGAGTTGCTCATTTTCCCTTATAAGAGATCTTTTCTGTCCAAGAAGTTCTTGAACAAGATCTTCAAATATGTTGCAGCTCTTTTTCAGCTTGGTGACCCCCGTTATCCATTCTTCTGGGGTACCTCCTAGGCCAGCATTTTGAAAGGCTTGACTGATCTTATGAAAATCTTCATGCATGGTTTTCATTTCTGTGCTCAATTTCTTGTTTTGGTCGTTCAAGTCCTTCAAATAATATGCTTGAGCTTCATAAAAATCTCCACTACTCTGAATGCCCTGACTGATGCTCTTACCATAGATTGCTTTTGGTATCAATCTGGTAGGATCTTTGTTTAATACTTTTGGTATTAATATAACCGGTTCTCTATGTACATAACTTCCCTCGATCCTCGTAGTTTCTTCAGGATGTCTTTCTTTGGCCTCATCATATTTTGTTTGATCATAAAACTTTTTGTCCATTTACGATTTCTTTCCAATATGATGAACAATCTATCAAGTCAACACCTTTTGATTATGCCATGATCATGTAATGCAAACAAAAGAAATCAATATGAACAGATTAGAGCAATGTAATATGCATGAAAAAAATAAGAAAAAATAGAATAGTTAGTACCAACTATAAAAATCTATCTATCAATGTATAAATCATAACCTCATACTTTCTAGTTCCATGCTTTGTTTGGAAAATTTAACTTAACCGCACGATTTCTAGTTCGCATGCATTTATTCAGGAAAAGGAAATAAAATAAATTAAAAGCTAGAGTTTATTTCTCCTTTGTGTATACCTACTGACAAAATTTCGGCATGGTTTCAGATTGAGAGAGTTTCTAGGGTTTATTATATGCAGGTTTTCAGTTCTAGGAGTAAAGGTACTCGAACTGTCCTTGTTGATGCCCCCTTGGGCTATCAAACCCTCAATCCTAATCCATTACAGACTTAAACGGACCGAGTTCAATTCGAGGGGATACATTTCTCTATGACTAACACGGAGAATAAATTCTCACGAAGACATAGAGCATGTGAACCCCGAAAGTTACTTGCTAGGTCTGACACGGAGAATAAATTCTCACGAAGACGTCGCTTTCACTCCCACTTAAAAGGGACAAACTCAATTATAGAGCTTTATGTTATGCAATGCAAGTGTTGTGTGTGAGGAGAAATGTTCAAACCTATAACAGAACAAATAAATAATGAAATAAAATATTTGCAAATAAAATGAAATATTAATAAGAAAATATATAAATAGTATGAAAATAATAAGTATATATAAAAATTTTGAAAAGAAAGAATTAAAAATTAGATATATGAATTTTTAATTTATAATTAATAGAGACAATTTATAATTGATTTTAAAAGATTGACCGGTCCCCAGCAGAGTCGCCAAGCTGTCGTAACCGGTTTTCGTCCGGACACGAAATATTAAATTTGGCGGGGAAATTGATGTGAATAAATAATTTTGAAAATAATTTGTGAGTCGCCATCGACCTTTTGGATCAGGTAGGTCGAATACCTAAAAAATTTTCTTTTAAAAGAGTTTTTAAAAAAACATCAATTAAAAAAAATGAACTGATCTGCGTTTTATAACCAAAAATTCGTTCTTAATAATAAAAAGGGATTCGTGGTCGGTTACGTTTAGGGAAGGATTAGCACCCCTACAACGCCCAAAATTGGTACTTTTTAATTATAAATTGTCTCTATTATTAAAATTATAAAAATTCAAAAATATATTTAATTTATAATCCTATTATTTCAAAATTATATATAAAAAAATATTTATTTATTTAAAATATCAGAAAAGAACTTCTAGGTGCCTTAAGACATCTCTTTTCTTTGATATTGATAAATATTAATTTAAATAATATTGTTAAAAAAATATCAGAATAGGACATCCAGTTGTATTAAGACTGTCCTTTTCTTCGATATTAAAAATAAACATTAAAGAATTTATTCCAGATTTATTATATATATATTTATGAATACATAAAAATATTTAAAAATATAAACAAATAAAATTAAAACAATAAAAATACCACTAAAACAATATATTTTAAAAGCAATAAAATAAATGAAAACTTATAAATTAAATGACTAAATTATAGTAAAATTAAAAACTAAAAATCTAATTCATAATTAATAGAAATATTAGGGATTAAAACATGTTATTTCTTTATTTTATTTATTTAATGACTAAAATAAAATTATCTAAAATGAGGATATTATAATAAGATAAATTAAAAATATAAACTAGGGATTAAAATATTATTTATTAAAATTAAGGGATTAAATCTGTTATTTACCCTATATACTATTTTAATATAAAGGACTAAAATAAATAAAATTGAAATTCGAAGACTGAATTACAACATTCAGAAGTTAGTTTCAGTGACTAAAATGAATAATTACAAAACTCGGATGGCTGCGGAAAGGGTTTGACCTTAATGGAAATTACACAAGTACCCCTCCCCCTAAACGGCGTCGTATGGTGGGGTATATAAAAAAACCAAATGGCTGGCCCGTAGGGCCAGCATCTTCATTTGCTTCTTTCCCTCTGTCTCTCTAAAAAACGAGAGAAGCGTTTCTCTCTCGCTTCTCTCTTCACCAGATGAATTCCGGTTTCCTGTCGACAGCCGTGTTCCGGCCGATTGCCGCCGCCGGCCACCGTGAACGGTGGCCGGAAATTACAAAATCTATCCCAAATCGAAGCCCGATTTTCCCTTATCCTAGATTCAAACCTCGTTTCTCATAATAACCTTCTGATAACCCTAGATCTAAAATAAATCGAGGGATTTTTACCTTTGATTAAACGGCAGTTTGACGACGTTTGGTTTCTGACGCCGCTTTGGTAAGTCTTTTCACTCTTCTCTTGGTTATTTTTCTTCTTAAAATGGCTGTTTGTTGGTGTCGTTTGGCTTGCTGTCTTCTCTTTGTTCTGTTTGCTGTCGATGGTTTTCTTTGCAGATGTTTGATGGCTTTTATAGTCATCGTCGATGTCCTCTTCGGACCGGTCTCAAATGGTGACCCTAGGTGAGTCACCGGACTATGGTGGTGACTCACCATAGGGTTTCAACGTGGGGCGGAAACGAGGTGCTTCTGGAGGCTTCAGTTGAAGGTGGCTTCATGGAGGCGTGGCAGCTGACTGAGACGCCGACGTGGGGCGGCTGGAGGCAGAGGCGGCGCCGCGTGGTCCCTAGGGTATCATAACCCTAGGGTTTTTTTGCTGGACTGCATCAGGGCCGTTGGATCATATTAGATCCAACGGCTGAGGATCTGCGGCGGCTGGGACTTAGATACAAACCCTAAATGGGTTTAGGGTTACACATTTGGGCCACTGGATTGGGCCAGATTTGGCCCGTTTGTAATAATAATTAATAATAATATTAGTAATAAATAATTATATTAATAATTATAATTATAATAATAATAATTATAATAATAATTATAATAATATTTAAATGAAAAAATGAGTATCTTCAGCTCTGATCGTCGAGAATCACAGAGGAGCCACTGGTATTAAGAAATAAGGGGTTTGAGTCCAAATTAGAATGATGATGACGATGATAAGAAGTCATGGGAGGACACTTCGACGTTGGACATGGTCCATTACTTGTATTGCTGTGTCCAAAATCCATCATGCAAGAAGTGCTATGAGAACTACCTTCCATTAATTATCTCTCTCACTGTCTTGTCATTTCTTCTCTCTTATTTTTTCCTAGTTATTCTCCACCCCCAACACAATCTATTTGTGCCCTAAAACTCTCCCGAGATTTACGCTACAAATAAACCAGACGTTTTAGTGGAAATCCTAAGGCGGCCAACCAATTATAAACGTGGGGCTTTTCCTAGTTGTTCATTAGCAGCATGCATGAATCTTTTACACACTCTCTCAGTGAGTCGAGCTTTGCTTTTTGATCTTCTCTCTAAGAAAGAAACAAAAGAGTTTGCTGTGAAACAGTAGGTTTTGCAGATGGAAAAAGGAAGATAACACAGACAGAGAGAAGAAGGCAGTGGCAGAAATGCTATGAGCTTTTACCTTTCCGATGTGTCGCAACCGTTTTTCGGTTGGACCCCGGAATTGAGTTTCGACTTAGAAAAATAGATTGGAGTCGTCACCGATCATTTATTTAAAAATAAATGGGTTGATCGGACACCCTATTTCTTACCTGATCTGCGTCTTACCAGAAATATGTCGGGCTCGGGAGTCGGTTACGGTCAAGGAAGGATTAACACCCTTGAACCGCCCTTTCGGTACTACGTAATTTCCAGTTGTCTTAATTAAGAAAAATAACAAGTTAAATTAAAAGGTAAAGTTTCGACCCCAATTACTTACCCTTTATTGATTTGAAAATATCCTTAAAAAATCGAGAAATGTGTTAGATAAACAAGGTAAATAAAACAAATAAGGTAAAAAGGAAAAATAAAATAAATAAAATAAATAAATAAGATAAAGGAAAAAAAATAGTAAAGTAATAATTATATATAGTAATATTTGAAAAAGGAAAAAATATATATATATATATACATCAAAGTATTAAAAAATAGAAAAGTTACCCTCTCACTTCACCGAAAGTGAGGGGCTTTAGTCAGAAATAAGACAAAAAAATGGGTCCTCTAGGTTAGTAATATATAATATAATGTTTAATAATAATAATGATAAAGACACAAGATTTTTTTAAAAAATAATATAATAATAATAAATAAAAAAACGAAAATAATATATATATATATATATAAAGTTATAAGATATATTACGTAAATAAAAAAATAATCAAATAAAAATAATTAAGAATATATATATATTAATAATAGGTATATAAATCAACCATTAAAAGTATAAAAAATATATGACTAGATAAAGATAATTACAATATATATAGTAATAATAGACTTATAAGTAGAATATTAAAGAAATATATATATATATATATATATATATATATACATATAATAATAATAACATAAATAATAAAAATAAATGAATAAAATATCCATATAATAAATAAAGGGACTAATATAGATTTTTAAAAAGCTCTTCCGGTTTTTCAAAATAAGCCTCGGGGTAGATCTAGGTTCGAAACTTTGAAACCCTACCCATTTTGGTCATCGGCGCAACCCACGTTTTGGGTTATTCGAACCAAATCTCAAGAAAAATAACGTGCACATGCAAAAGAAAGAAAAAAGAAAATGCTACCTTTTATTTCCTTTTCGAATCCTTTACAATAGCTTTGCCTTTGTATCTTCCCGTGCTTTCCTCTATGTTTTGTGTGTAAATCGTGTCTTCAAATGGTGAGTTACAATGGCTATTTATAGTGCTTGTAGATCATATCTTTAGGAATTTAAATAATAGTAGAACTCTATCCTATTTTTTGAATCCTAGCAAAATTCTATCCTATCTTTAGGAGTTTGAATTCTAGTAGGACGAAAAGGTGTGTTGACAGCTGCCCCTCTTTGCCCATAGTCGTGTAACGGGGATAGGGCAAAGATTAAAAGACACACTTTTCGTTCGGTGGAGTTGAAAATTGACTCTGATGTTTCAATAACTCCCTGTCGAATTGAGTTACGGATGACTCCTCCATCGTGAAGTCGAGTTCATCTTGAAATGATATGAAATTAAAGCCGTAGTTCGGAATTTGAATCAGCACGTGGCTTCCCGTTACCCTTCGGTCTTCTTCTCGGTTTAAAGACCTTAGATCGGAATCGAACTCAGAAATCTTCATTGATAGATAGCTTTTTCTTGACTTAAGCTATGCTGTTTGAAAATGGTTGCTTGTCACTAAGGCACGGCTAACCCAGGTCCTCTTCTCGACTTGAAAACCTCGACTGCAACCGGAAAGTAGTGTGATTGATGTGTCATCGAGCTGAATGGAGTCGAACTCGACAATTTTGATGGCAGATAATCTTTCTTTGAGTTGGATATCCTTCGTCGTGAAGTTGAAATCCAAGTAAGTAGCATTGTTCCAAGTCCAATATCCTCCGTCGTGAAGTTGAAATTGGCTCTGGAACCGGGAAATTGTTTGTTGACAACCAACCGTCCCTTCGTTGTGAAGTTGAACTTGTGTTGTCTCGAGTCCAATATCCTTCGTTGTGAAGTTGAAATTGAATCTGAATGAAATTTTGTTGACAAGCAGCGGTCCCTTCGTCGTGAAGTTGAACTTGCGTTGTCTGGAGTCCAATATCTTTCGTTGTGAAGTTGAAATTGGCTCTGGGATTGGGAAGTTGTTGTTGACAAACAGCGGTCACTTCGTCGTGAAGTTGAACTTGCATTGTCTGGAGTCCAATATCCTTCGCTGTGAAGTTGAAATTGGCTCTGAATGAAATTTTGTTGACAAGCAGCGGTCCCTTCGTCGTGAAGTTGAACTTGCGTTGTCTGGAGTCCAATATCCTTCGTTGTGAAGTTGAAATTGGCTCTGAGATTGGAAAGTTGTTGTTGACAAGCAGCGGTCCCTTCGTCGTGAAGTTGAACTTGCATTGTCTGGAGTCCAATATCCTTCGCTGTGAAGTTGAAATTGGCTCTGAATGAAATTTTGTTGACAAGCAGCGGTCCCTTCGTCGTGAAGTTGAACTTGCGTTGTCTGGAGTCCAATATCCTTCGTTGTGAAGTTGAAATTGGCTCTGAGATTGGAAAGTTGTTGTTGACAAGCAGCGGTCCCTTCGTCGTGAAGTTGAACTTGCATTGTCTGGAGTCCAATATCCTTCGTTGTGAAGTTGAAATTGGCTCTGAGATTGGGAAGTCGTTGTTGACAACCAGCTGTCCCTTCGTCGTGAAGTTGAACTTGCGTTGTCTGGAGTCCAATATCCTTCGCTGTGAAGTTGAAATTGGCTCTGAAATTGGGAAAATTGTTTATTGACAACCAGCGGTCCCTTCGTCGTGAAGTTGAACTTGCGTTGTCTGGAGTCCAATATCATTCGTTGTGAAGTTGAAATTGGCTCTGAAATTGAGAAGTTGTTTGTTGACAACCAGCCGTCCCTTCGTTGTGAAGTTGAACTTGTGTTGTCTCGAGTGCCACGATATCCTCCGTCGTGGAGTTGAAATCGCAGATGGCCCCTTCGTTGTGAAGTTGAGCCTTGACTTGAATATCCTTCGTCGTGAAGTTGAAATCCAAGTATTGTATGTTGCGGGTGGACACTATTCCCTTCGCCGTGAAGTTGAAACCGTGGAGACCCCTTTATTGTGAAGTTTAGCTTCGAGCTAGATATCCTTCGTCGTGAAGTTGAAATCCACTCTCGAGCAAATTGTGTCGCTTTGAGTGCAATATCCTTCGCCGCGAAGTTGAAATTGACTCTAGCTAAAACCTGAAAAAGTTATGCATATATGTGATGCTATGGATGCAATGCTCTTAGGTGTGCCTAAAATGCATATGCAACATATGTTATCTTGGGGCTCTGGAGAGAAATCTCGATCTCCAGTTGCCTGTCTGGAATCTTGATTCTTGAATCTTCAAATTTTGATCCCTGATCTTGAATTCTTCAAATGTTCAAATCTGATGTGCACATTCTATTTTTGATTTGAGAAATGCTTCTCGACCATCTCAAGTATGTGCCTGAGCTGAGTGTAACAGTTCAGATGATGCTTCAAAAGAAGTTGTCTTGAAAGAGATAGAATTCGTTTCAAGGGAAACGATCTCAAAGATATCTGTTGTTTCAAGGGAAACGGTCTTAAGGGAGACAAAATTTTGTTTTAAGAAAAACTGTCTCAAGAGAGATAAAACTTAGTTCCAAAAGAAATTGTCTCACGGGGAGATGAAATTAGTTCCAAGGAAAACATATTCAAAGATGACGCTTCAAGAGAAATTGCCTCAAAAGCGACATAATTTGTTTCAAGGGAAACGATTTCAAAGATATCTGTTGTTTCATGAGAAACGAAATTTTGTTTTAAGGGAGATAAATTCAAAGATTTTTTGTTTCAAGAGAAACTGTCTCATGGGAGACAAAATTTGTTTCGAGGGAAACAATCTCAAAGGTTTTGTGTTTCAAGAGAAGCTGTCTCAAGGGAGACAAAATTTGTTTCAAGGGAAATTATCTCAAGAGAGACGAAATTCATTTCTAGGGAAATGTTTTCAATGTTTATGTTTCAGGAGAAACTGTCTCAAGGGAGACAAAATTTTCTGTTTCGAGGGAAACTATCTCAAGCGAGATAAAATCTTGTTTTAAGAAAAACAATCTTGAGGGAAATAAATATTCTTTCGAGTAAAACAGTCTTAAGTGAGGCAAAGTCTGTTCTAAGAAAAACAATCTCAAGTGAGATAATCATTTGCATTAAATGAGACTGTCTTAAGCAACACAATCTCATCTTCTCCTGAAAGATCTGTAAAATGTATCGGGATGTAACTATCATGATGATGGATGTTTGATGTATGCCAAGATGAAATTTATTTACTGTTGAATTTGCCCTCAAGAGAGGAAAAAAAATCAAGGTTTTTATTGCTCATGATGATGAATGCAAAGATGCAAATTTCATACATCATGTATGTACATGTTGATGTATATGTTGAGATGTGAGGGGAATGGTTGCGTGTGTAGTCTTCATTCTAACTCTGACTCAGTTTGTCTTCATTTCCACCAGGGTGTACTCTTGCAGACCTCAAGACAATTTTTCCTTCCCCTATCAATTTTTGCCCCAAAAATGGTTTCCTTTGCCTCATTTTCGATCTTGAGCTTCGGAGCG